TTGAATGCCATCAGATTTATCATCCGAAACCATAGAGGCCAGAAAGAAATGGCACTTTTTTCAAATGTTAAAGAAAAAGAACTATCCAGGCCAATTCCATATAGAACAAAAGCATCCTTCAGGAACAAAGGGGAACACCATTCTCAGATGATGGAAACTAAAATAATTTCTCACTATGGACATATCCTTAGGAAGTTCTCCTAAAAGAAGAAGGAAATGATGCATGAATAGGGTTTAATTTGAGTAAAGGAAGAATACTGAATTAGGTAATAGTAGTGGTAAATATAAAATCAACTATTCTTCCGCTCATGAGTTTTTAAATCATATTTGATAGTTGAAGTAAACGTTATAACAACATTTGATGGGTGTTCAAGGTGTATATAGAAAATACAACTACCAAATTTTAAGAAGGGAAAGGGTAAAAGGACCTAAATGGAAGTAAGATCCTTATATTTCAATTGGCAAACGGCAATACAAGCAACCCTTGTGATAAGTTATTATGTTTATTATTATACCCAAAGCACACTAAAAAAGGTTAACTAAGCCAGATAGTCAAAAACACTATAAACACATCAAACAGAATTCTGAAAATATTCAGTCAACCTATAGAAAGACAAGAAGAGGAACAGACATGAAAAATAGGAAACAGAAAACAAATAATAAAATGGCTGGCTTAAGATCTAACACATCAACAAATACTTTTAAGTGTAAATGATATAATTATACCTGTTAAAAGCCAGAGATTGGCAGAATAGCTTCTTTTTTTAAAGACCCAAGGATATAGCGTTCATGAGAAATTCACTAAAACATAATGACATTGGTAGGCTGAAAATACAAGTACAGAAAAGATATGTCAGGTTAATTTTTTTTAAGTAGGGATGGCTATATTACCAGCAGATAAAGTAGACTTCGGAGCAAGGAAAAGTATTGTACAAAGATAAAAGGATTAATTCATCATGAAAACATCTTAAATTTATGTGTACCAAACAACAGATATTTAAAACACATGAAGTCAAAACCAATAGAGCTAAAAGGAAAAACAGAGATATTCATAATTATAGTTGGGGCCCTCAGCAACAAAAATAACTATTACACAGACAACAACGCAGAGAAGAACTGAACAATACCATCAACAAATAGAACATAACTGACATGTATAGAAACTTGCAACCAACAATAGCAGAATACATATTTTTTTCAAGCATACATGGAACATTCACCAAGATATACCATGCCCTCCATCATAAAACAAATTTAAAAATTAAAAATTATACAGCTTATGTTTTCTGATCATTGTGGAAAAAGGTAGAAAATCAACAGGTAAATCTCCAAATACTTGGAAACTAAATGACATACTCCTAAATATTTTCATGGATCAAGGAAATTTCGAAGGAAAAATTTACAATATATAGAAATGAATGGAAATGAAAATACAAGACAGCAAAATGTGTGAGATGCAACTAAAGCAATGCCAAGAGGGAAATTATAGCAATAAATGCTTACATTAGAAACAAAGAAAGATCTTAAACTAATAATCACAGAATTAGATAAAGAAAAGCAAAATAAAAGTGAGATGGAAGAAAATAATAAATATAAGAAGCAGAAATCAATGACATTCAAAATAGAAAAATAAAGATGAAATAGTTAGTTCTTTGAAAAAGATCACTAAAATCAGCAAACCACCACTGTAAAAGATAAAATGACACAAATTACTAATGTAGTAGCAATAACGAAACAAGGGTTATCACTAAAAACCACGTAGAATACTGTTACTCTACCAAAGTCTGACAAAGGCAGTACAAAAGAAACCAGCAAAAAACTACAACACACCTCTCATACCTATACCTTAACAAAATATTAGCAAATAGAATATACAAATATATGAAAATTATTTACCATAACCAAGTGAGATTTATACCAGTTATGTTCAACATTTGAAAATCAATGTTAACTCACCATATCAACAAGCTAAAGAAGTATTAATTCACTAAACATACATTTACCATATGATTTAGCAACTGTACTCTTGGGCATTTATCCCAGAGAGGGAAAAATGTATGTTCACTCAAAAACCTTCACATAAAGGCTCATAGAAGCTCTATTTATAATAGAGTAACCCAAACGTCCTTCAATGAATGAGTGGTTAAACAAACTGTTGCACAGCCATCCCATGGAATACTACTCAGCAATAAATCCTTGAAATAACAAAATTATAGAGATAGAGTAGTGGTTGTCATGGGTTAGGAACATGGTTGGGACAAGATAGTTTGACTATAAGGAGGCAGCATAAGGGAGCCTTGTAGTGATGGAATTAATTCCTTAACTTGCTTATGGTAATTATAAGAAGCTACACAGCTTGTGTGAGACCTGTGTACACACACAAATGAGTCCTTATAAAGCTAGGTGAAATGGAAATATACTCTGTGAATTGTATCAATGTCAATTTCCCAGTTTTAATATTGTACCATAGTTATTCAAGATGTTACCATCAGGGGAGGTGGGCTGAATGGTACACAGGAACATCCCTGTAAAGTTTTTTGCAACTTCCTGTGAATATGCAATTATTCAAAATAAAAAGGTTAAAAAATTATTAGTAATTATATACATATTTAATTGCAATTGGTATAAGTGGTATGAAAGGAGAAAATTGGAAATCTTAGTACATAGCCCTACGTACACTTGAAAACATACAGGTGAAAGTCAACATAATACAGATGATACATAAACAAAATTTTTTTTACAGTCTGCTTTAACTATTTGATTGTCACATCTTTCTCCAGAATAACATGTAAGAACAAGTAATTGTTTTCTGTATCCTGACCTGATCACCATCTGGCCCCTTGCAACAAAACCACTGCTTCTCACTTCTTTTCATTTGGAAATTATATTCTTTTCCTTTCTCAATTATATTCTTTTTAATAAGACTAAAAGGTACATAATTAATAGAACAAGAAATTGAAGGTCAAAGATGTTTACTTTTTTTTGCTTTATTTTTTTGAGATGGAGTGTTGCTCTGTCACTCAGCCTGGAGTGTAATAGCAGGATCTTGGCTCACTGCAACCTCCACCTCTCAGGTTCAAGTGATTCTCCTGACTCAGCCTCCAGAGTAGCTGGGACTACAGGCACCTACCACCATGCCTGGCTAATTTTTATATTTTTAGTAGAGATGGGGTTTGCCATATTAACCAGGCTGGTCTTGAGCTCCTGGCCTTGTAATCTGCCTGCTGTGGCTTCCCAAAGTGCTGGGATTACAGGTGTGAGCCACGATGCCTGGTCAGATGTTCACATTTTTTTGTTCAAGGTCATAAGCGTTTAAGTGGCAAAATAAATTCTACAGTCTTCTGAGACCTATTCCAATATTTTCCAGTCACATATTACTTTGAAATATTATATAACACTAAAGAACCCCAAAAAAACAAACTGCAAAATATTGTAAAAGAAAAGTCCAAGTGAAAATGAGTATATGTTACACCAAGATTCTGTGTAGTTGTCTTTGTTCCTGGTTGTGAGATGAGCAATTTCACAACTTTTTAAAAATGACTTTCACATTTCACCTACTTTTGCTATAATTGCTATCTGAATGACTGCACAATAACCCCAGTGAGATTCTTCTTTGTGCAAGTGGGTCACAAAATCAAGCTTAAATAATGAAGATAAAATCCATGACTACTGCTGAGGACATATTAAAAACTAAAGCACACACTACACTCACTATTAACTTGCTGAATTATCTTTACCTGAAAAAGGCAATTTGTTTTGCACAACTCCTTTGCTACGTCTAAGGTGGCAACTGTGACATCAAACTTTCTTGTAGTCTCAGAAGACTGTAGAATCACACACATTTTTTTTAATGTGCCAGAGAGCAGCTTTCAGCTCCTGGACATCAGTTAAAGCCAAGAATTTCACAAGCGTACAAACTACTTATCTATATTAAATACACTCATTAGAAATAACACACTAATTTCACTCTGGTTGAAGCATACTTAAAGTAGACCAGAATTAAGTGCTTAACCTTAAATATATTATATGGTAATACTATAAGGGAGAAAAGGCTGAAAGTAGAGCAATATTTTAACAAAGAAAAAAGTCCTCCAGTCTAAAGGCATTAAGTTATCAAAAAGCAAAATATTAAAATACAAAATTTAGATGGGCACCCACCGTGTTGCAATGATTGTCCCCTAGAATGTTACATGCTGGAAAGAGGGGCCTTAGCAGGTTTCCAAGCCTTTCACCTTTAGATGGAAAATGGGGAAACGCACAACAAAGACACTCCTACTTACAGTTCCAGAAAGAAGTTTAATTAAAAAAAAACAGCTTTTGAGAATAAACATTCTGGAGATGTTCCTAAATCTTCCGGGTTTCTTTTGGTTGTATCTCTCTATACAGATTTGTTCTTCCAGCTAAAGGACTACCAACTCTTCCAGTGTTTGGCAGACAGGACACAAAGCAGGTGTCCGGTAACTACTTGCAAGGGAAGACACGAATCAAGGAATAAAGTGTTCCAATATGCATCCTGTCTTACGTGGGGAACAAAACCAAACTAAAATCCAAGGGAGAGTTTACAGTTAAGGTCTTCGGCGTGAATAAAAGGCGGCGGGCGTGAGCACTAAACGCCGGAGGCAAAGAACATTCCCGGCCCAGGGTTTGACCCCTCCTAGCCATTTCTTCCCGGTCGGTTGCCCAATCTTTTGGCCTCTACTTCACCATGCGGGTGCCATAGGACTCCCCCACAGGTGGGCTGCACTTGGAGGTTCGAATGCTGCATTCCCGCGCTCGGGGGAGCCACTGCCCGGCCTGCAGCTAAAAGGACTCCCAGGCCAAGTAGCTCCGAACCCGTGAGCTGTCGGTGCAACATTATTCTCGCTGCTACGGACCATCTGTTCCAGGGCAACAGGGGCTCCGAAACGAACCATAGAGAAGAGGGGACGCCAGATCCCACGTGCCTGCCCGCCCGTCCTTCCTTTGGGCAGTCACCCTAATCACGAGAAACTGTACCTCACCTGTCCGCCTACTAGGCAGCCGGTTCTCGCTGAGGGTTCTGGGAAGACTACACGGTACCGGAAGAGCCGGCTTCCGGTGACGTCACAGCACTGCGCCGCAAAGCTGATCCTGGAAGCCGATGTCAGCCGGACGCGCGGCGCACAGCGGGCTGGGGCTTGTCTGACTATGGCTTGGAACCTGTGGTCCAGATTTGGAGAGACCTCTCGGAGGATGTAGGGGTTTTCCCTTTATCATTTGAATTTTATCCGCCTTTTATTTTCTGTTATCCTTGATATACTTCTGGCTTCCCTTCCCTTCTCTCTCATTTGTTCTCCATGTCTGCCCCTCTTTTCCTGCTTCCCATTTCCCTCTTTTTGCATTAACAGTAGTAGCATATTATCCCCACATACACAGCAAAGTTGATTCTCATTTGACCATGTTCATAAGCATAATCAATAAAGTATTTTTAAATTAAGGTATTGCCAAGTTTAAGTAAGAAGATTCAGAAAATACGATTAAGTGTAGAGTTATTTGGGCTCAGTGGTTGAGAATGGCCACTCAGGAGCGTAGAGATTCCAGTTGTCTTGAATATACACACCAATTACCAGCAGTCACAGTAGGTTTTAAGGAAAGAAGAAGAAGCAGATCTTAACTTGTTTACCAAGAAGTTGCATTTAAAAAACATAAGCTCTTGACTGGCTATGCTTTCTTACTTGCATCACAAATTCTAGGAACATAATGGGTGAAGCAGCTAGTCAAGAACAGAATAACTTTAAACAATTTCCCTTAGGCATGGGAAGGCATGGCCAAAGCCTGGTATTCACATCTGTTTGGGTCTAGTAAATTTTGCATGCTTCACATAGCTCAGACTGCTGTGACCTATTTTTGTTTTCTTAGTATGTACATTTTTTAGACATAATGCTGTTGCACACAATAGTCTACAGTACAGTGTAAACGTAACTTTTATATGCACTGGGAAACCAAAAACTTTGTGTGAACTGCTTTATTGTGATATTTGCTTTATTGTGGTAGTATGGAACTGAACCCCCAATATCTTCAAGTTATGCTTGGATTTTTAAAAAAGAGGTTTATTTAGCTCATGGTTCTGCACATTGGAAAGCTCAGGGGGCATGGTGCCAGCATCTGCTCAACTTCTGGTTAGAGTTTTTTGTGTGGTGTCACAACATGGCAGAAGGTCAAAGGGGGAGCTCATACATGTGCAAAGGGACCAAACAGGAGGTGGAAGCTCACTGTATAACAACTCACTCTCTCAGGGACTCTCTCTTTTCCGATCTCTCAAGAGCTGTTATAAAACCAAACTGGGGTTCAATCTCCCTGTGCGGCAAGGCCAAATACCAATGTGAGGATTGTAGTGAAAGAAAGTGAGGCATTTATTGTAGGGTGCCAAGCAAGGACAATTGGGCAGTTAGTGCTTAAGTCTTGAGCTCCCCAGTTGTTTATTGGTTATGGTTTTTGTTTGTTTGGTTGGTTTTGAGATGGAGTCTTGCTGTGTAGCCCAGGCTGGAGTGCAGTGGCACACTCTCAGCTCACTGCAACCTCCGCCTCCCGGGTTCAAGCGATTCTCCTTCCTCAGCCTCCCGAGTAGCTGGGATTACAGGCACACAGCACCACAACCATCTAATTTTTGTATTTTTAGTAGAGATGGGATTTCATCATGTTGGTCAGGCTGGTCTCGAACTCCTGACCTCATGATCCACCCACCTCAGCCTCCCAAAGTGCTGGGATTACAGACATGAGCCACCATGCCTGGCCATAGGTAAGGGTTTTTAAAGGGAGGGGTGCAAGAGGTTTTGGTTAAAGTCATAAATGAATATATGGAGGTTGTATTATTGGTTTAACTTAAAAATACAGTGAGGTAGGAGGCAGGACTTGGACAACAGACCAAATTGAGGACTAACTAAAACAGGGCCAGGGAGGAAGCAGCTTTCCATAAGACATACCCACCACGGTGTCATGTCAATTTATCATTGCCATGGCAACAGCCAGGAGTTAATGCCCCTTACCATGACAACAACCCTACAACCCAGAAGCTACCACCCTTTTCCTAGAAATTTCTGCATAATCCACCCCATAATTTGCCTGTAATTAAACGTGTCTAAAAATATGACTGAAGAACTCTCTTTGAGATGCTACTCTGGACACACTGCCTATAGGGTAGCCCTGCTCTGCAAGGAGCAGTATCTCTGCTTCTTCTAGACACTACTACTTCTATAAAACTTGCTATTTAGCACCACCAGCTCACCCTTGAATTCTTTCTTGGTGAGGCCAAGAACTCTCCTGGGCAAATCCCCAATTTGGGGCTTGCCTGCAGGACATCTCAAAGAGGGGGGGCGACAGGTCATAGGTGGATTTAAAGATTTTCTGATTTATGATTGGTTAATAAGATGAAACTGTCTAAAAATTTGAGATAAGCAGAAAAGAATGTTAGCTTGGGCTCATGGGCATGGTCTCCATAAGGCCCCTCAAGAAGAATTTTAGAACAAAGAATAGTAGTCAGAGTTTAGTCTTCAGTTCTCCCCTATTTGAGGCCTGTATGCCAGTGGATCCATTTAATGGGGATCTGGGTTTCTGAAAAACAACTTGGGACATATGTTAAGATGTTATCTTTAGTTTTTATAGGAAATAAAATATCTTGCGACATTAATTTTTTGGCTATTGTTATAAGCTATTATTATCATCTTGCTTTTAAGTTTTTGTTTGTTTTTTAGGACTAACTAGATGTCTGGAATTTTTTTTAAGGAAGTCAAGATTTTTTAAATTTTCATGTTTTGGTGGAGGATCCCCAGCAAACCCTTAAGAGGGATTCTGCCCTGTCTCAGAACAAGAACTGACTTTTGCGAGAACAGCAACAATCTCTTCATGAAGGATCCACCCCACGACCCAAACACCTCCCACTAGGCCCCACTTCTCAACATCCCCACATTGAGGATCAAATTTCAGCGTGAGTTTTGTTGGAGACAAACTATATCCAAACCATAATAACACATATTGTGATAAGAAATAAGCTATGGGGATCAAAATTCAGCATGAGTTTTGTTGGGGACAAACTATATCCAAACCATAACAACACATATTGTGATAAGAAATAGGCCTTTGTTGCTTAAGGCTCTGGAGGTTGTTGCTGTTGTTTCTTACCACAGTGCAACATAGCCTGTCCAGATTGATGCAGAGGGACAGCCACACAGAGATTCCTTTTTCTCCCTCTTTTGCTTTTAATTCCTAATATGCAGGGGAGAATTTCTGATTGGCTCAGCTCAGATCTTGTCTTAGTCCATTTTCTGTTGCTTATGGTAGACTACTGGAAATTGGCTACTTTATAAAGAAAAAAATTATTTCTTACAATTACAGAGGCTGAGAAGTCCCAGGTCAAGGGACTATACCTGGTGAAAGCGGTAGAGACTCTCTGAAGAGTCCTGAGGCAGCACAGGGTTTCACTTGTCCAGTGGGCTGAGTGTGCTAGCTCAGGTCTCTCTTCCTTTTCTTGAAAAGCTACCAGTTCCACTCCCACGATACCCCTTAATCTAATCCATTAACCTACTGATTCATTAATCTATGAATGAATTAATCTATCCATGAGGGCAGAGCCTTCATGATTCAGTCACCTCATCATAAAGGTCCCATCTTTTAATACTCCCCATTGAGGATTAAATTTTAATATGACTTCATAAATATATACACTTACTATGTACCCACAAAAATAAAAAATAAAACAAACTATTTCAAATAAAAATAAATAAATTTCAACATGAATGGTATGGTTTGGATATGGTTTGTTTGGCTCCTACCAAGTCTTAGATTGAAATGTGGTCCCCCATGTTGGAGATGGGGCTTGGGTTTCTGAGTCTGGGTTGTGGGTGTGGATTCCTCATGATGGCTTGGTGCCATGCTCCCAGGAGTGAATGAGTTCTTGTTGTTAGTTCACATGAGAGCTATATATACAGAGATGAGGTCTTGCTATGTATCCGGGCTGAAACTGGGTAATTAATTTTTTTAAAAAATTTATTTCTTACAGTTCCAGAGGCTGAGAAGTTTGAGGTCAAGAGACTGAATCTGGTAAGTCCCACTCCTGTGATAACCCATTAATCTATTAGCCCATTAATCTCTTAATCCATGAATGGATTAATCCATTCATAACAGCAGATCCCTCATCATCCAGTCACCAACATAGCAGGTCTGGTGTCCAGCAATCATCCAATCATTAGTGACAAGTGCTTGTGGTCATATTGACTTTTTGCAATAGGTAAGAGGATTCATAGTGAATGGGGCAGACATTCCATAAAGATGTCTACAATAATCACAGATGGCTAAAGTTGGACTACTGAAGACTGATTTAAAAACAGTAAATGAAAAACTATCACCTTTTGCATAAAAATTTTAGGCTCTCATTACTCATCCATTTTTTATTTTCTGTTACATTACACTCTTCCAGGCTGGGAATACAAAGGAAACTCAAAGAGAAATGTCATTGTTCTCATAGACACAATAAGCAAACTAAAGAAATTAATATATAATGACAGAGCAAGGGGAATTAAAAGGCAAGGTTAGAAACAGAAAGCAAGGAATGCATTAGTTATCTCTTTATCCAACTGCACCAAAATATATGAGCTTAAAACATAAAACATTTATTATCTTACACAGTTTCAAGAGGTCAGGACACCAGTAGCAGCCTAGCTGAAAGGTTCTAGCCAAGTCTTTCATGAGGTTGCTGTTAAGCTAGTTGCTCAGGGATACAGTCATCTCAAGACTCGACTAGGTCTGAAGAATTGGACTAAATTATATGGTCACACTTCCTCAGGGGCTGTTGGCCACAGTTCTTCACCGTGAAGACCTCTCCACAGTGCTGTTTGCAATATGGCAGCTTTCTTCCATCAAAGGAAGAGGTAGAGGATACAGAGAGAGCACCCAACATAAAAGCCACCAGTCTTTAATAACCTAATCTCTGAATTGGCATACTGCATCATTCCCTCAGTGACATGAATCATTTATCATGTCTATATGCTATTTAATGTGGGAAGATATGTAAATTCTAAAAGGCTGGGACCATTGGGGGCCATTTTGGAGATGGGCTGCCACAATGGTGCATTACTTTATATTGTGCAGGCAGGAAAAATCCTGTCAGGTAATTTTGAGAAGAGAGCTCCATGAAGCTGGGAAATAAATGTGGGATAAGGACAGTGGGGGAATCCTGAAATACTTTAATCTCACATGTCTCTTGCTTTCATTCTGAACTCATGGCTCATATTTTCTAAATTATCATAAGATAATCATATACTCCCTTTATACTCTCTCTGTTGTATTATTTCGAATATTTAACACCCACATGGAATTTTAAAGCATTTTATTCACCTATTTATCTGTATTTTTTATTTTTTGAGGCAGGGTCGCACTCTTGTTTGCAAGGCTGGAGTGCAGAAACCTGATCACAGTTGACTGAAACTTTGACATCCCAGGCTCAAGTAATCCTCCTACCTCAGCCTCTCGAGTAGCTGGTACTGCAGGCACATGCTACTTCACCCAGTAATTTGTTCTGTTTTTAGTATAGATATGTTTTTGCCCTGTGGCCCAGGTTGGTCTCGAACTCCTGGGCTCAAGTTGTCTGCTCCCTCAGCCTCCCAAAGTGCTGGGATTACAGGTGAGCTACCATACCTAGCTAGAATTTTTAAGCATTTTAGCTTTCTCTAAAACTGTACATTTTAGGAGATGCTGCTACTTTTAGGGGTAAAAATCATGCAGTTAAATTAGTTGCTCTAATTCATTATTGATTTGTATTCAACTCAAAATATTGGTTTGTTATTATTATGATTGTTATTCCTAATACTAACTAAATTTATTGAATCTAATATAGATCTCAGTGTAAGGCACTGATATGGTTTGGCTCTGTGTTCCCACTCAAATCTTATTTTGAATTCTAATCTCTAGGTTTCGAGGGAGGGTCATGGTGGGAGGTGATTGGATCATGGAGGTGGCTTCCCACATGCTGTTCTCCTGACAGTGAGTGACTTCTCAGAGGATCTGATTCTCTAAAAGTGTTTGGCAGTTTTCCCTGTCTTCTCTCTCCCTCACCTGCCATGTAAAATGTGCCTTGCTTCCTCTTCACCCTCCACCACGATAGTAAGTTTCCTGAGGCCTCCACAGCCATGTGCAACTGTGAGTCAATTAAACCTCTTTCCTTCATAAATTACCTAGTCTCTGGTAGTATCTTTATAGCAGTGTGAGACTGGACAAATACAGGCACATAGAGAAATGTGTAATCCTGTATGGTGTATTTGGTTGGATAGCAAAGCTGAGCATAGTTCCAGCTAAGAAATGGAATAGAAAGTGACATTTTGGCTGAGATAGTATGGCATTTGAATAAACAAAACTGAAGCAATGGGTGACATGGTGGACATTTTTTTTGCTGTTGTCTAGTTATCTATTCCCACCTCATATCCCACTTTTTTTTTTTTTTTTTTTTTGAGACAATGTCTTATTCTGTGATCCAGGCTGGAGTCCAGTGGCATAATCTAGGTTTACGGCAGCCTTCAATTCGTGGGGTTGAGGAATCCTCCTGCCTCAGCCTTCTGAATAGCTAGGACTATAGGTGCAAGCAACCAAGCTTGGATAATTTATTTCTCTTTAGAGATAGGGTCTCACTGTTTCCCAGACTTGATCTCAAACTCTTGGGCTCAAGCGATCCTCCTGTCTTGGCCTCCCAAAGTGTTGGGATTATAGGTGTGAGCCACAGTGCCTGGCCTTCTTATTCCTTTCTAATACTACTTATTCCTTCTCCCAAGAAGCTCATGTGTTTAGGGGGAAGCTCTGGGATGGCCCTTGATTGACTTTCTCAATCATCATATTCTCCTTCTCTGGCCTTAGTCACTGGTCCCTGGCTTGATCTATAACCTAAGCCCATTCTGTCAGGGTGAAGCTTGGGATGCTGGCAAAGTTGTGTTTTTGTCTTTCCAGATAATGTGCTATATGAATATGATGCCTAAAATTGCTGCAGACATTTTTGTTTCCATGATGAAAAGTTAAAATAAGGAGAAGTAAAGACATGGAGGGAATCACAGAGAAAGGGAGGCAGGGTCCTGATCATCATGCATGAAGTCTGCTGCTATCTGGACGTTCCAGTTGTGTGAGCCAAGAAAGCCCTATTTTTAAGTCAGTTTCAGTTGTGTTGTGTTATTTCCAGCAGAGAGCCTCCTAACTGATACATCCTTACCTACTCCAGTGGTATCTGAGTACTCATCATAAAAGCCTTGAAGGGCTGACCGCCCATTTCATTTGGTTTATCAGTGGCCACAAAAAGATGCAATGAAGGGTTTCCTGATTATTTAACTTCACAATTGGATGATAGGAAATAACTTATGGAAAGGAAGCTCCAGAATGTAAATTGAGACATAAAAAATAGGCAAATTATGAAATGTTAAGAAATGTGCAAATGATCAGAAGGAGAGACTTTTGTCAAATAATAATATTTGCTGCATGTCAAGTTCTGTGACTTGACAGAGAAATGTCAAAATGCTTTACATGGGTCTAGATGGGGCAAAGAAGTTTGAGGGCAAGTTGAAGATGATGGTCTCAGACATAAATGGCCCCTCTTTACCTAATTCATATGGACTCATGTCTGAGTCTTATGGAGATAAAACTCTAGCAGTAAGAAGAAAGAAATACTTCTTTCACAAAATCTAGGAGAGATCTTGGGATCCCAAGGCAACCCTCTGTGACACGAAACACTGACAGGTTATGGTACCAAGGAATATAGCAGAAATGAGAAAACTACCTCTTGGAGAACAGAGACATCCAATAAAGTGTCCCACAAACATGAAATGATTTTAGAGATCTATCAGCCACCTACCATGTGCAGCACTTACTGGGAGGGAATTACAGTGGAGATAGTACAGAACCTTTTGGTATTTCATGGGCAGCTTCACTGAGAAGAAAGAGAGGGAAAATGCTGCATTTCTCATGTCTGAGATCAAGTATGCAGAGACCCTTGAAGGAAACTGCTAGGAACTGCCACAACTGGAGAACATTTAGTGGAGGTGAGAGATTAGTTGGGAACACTTCATAGCAAGGCTGATGATGTCACAATAGCAGAAAGCCAGAAAAATGGGTAATAATACTCAGATCTTCATGGTAGGAGAGAATAATCTGGTAGATATTAGAATGCTAGAAGGACTTGTGCTCATTAATTTAAAATGTTCCCCTCTTCCTTATTATTCCATTCCACAGAAAGTAGAAACTCTTGGTTTAGACATCTGTTGAATTAGTATGTGTAGTTGATGATTATATAAAAAGCAGAAAGAGGAAGAAAAAGGAAAGAAATAACAAAGAGATGAGAGAAAAAAATAAAGATTTTTTTCTATAATATAGAAGACAAAGATTTCTCTTCGATGTGTATTCTAAAGACCATGAACCATAAGCGTTAGTGAATTTTGAATTATGGTTTCCCACTGGCTCTAATATTGAATTTTCTTGTTTATACATTTATAAATAGAAATGATTATACATGCTTTAAAACATATGAATATTTTATGCACCCTCTACAAAATAGCACTGGCATACCCTGAGATCCACATTAATTCTTGTTTCAAACACTGTGGGTCACAAAAACAGATCACATAATTATTCATCTTAGGTATAAATTAAGAATCAAGATCCATTCTTTTTTTAAATTTATAAAGGTGTATTATTTTAGTCTTTAAAAATCCGCACAGAATAGAGATAATAGCTACAACTTGAAAAAGCCATATTTAACTCCCATATTTTAGCTAAGCTGTTCCTCCTATCATTTAATTATGCTAAAACCCAAAGAGATAGATGGTCCTGAAAGCCAGCACACTTGAGCTGTGAGACTTGGAGATTCTTGCTGGCAGACTGTTCATTGATAGTACTGCCTTCATAGATGTACTTGGCTTGTAAAATGAATAAGAAAACCTGGCAAACACTAACATTCAGATGTTCCTGCCATCAAAAATTATACAGAATGTATGTATATACTCACATACACTTGTATATGTGTGTTTATATATATTATAGAGAAACTAAAATCATATTTTTAAGCCTTCCAA